TGACAAATATCCATCATTTGAGCTTGTATATGGTGTAGGAGTATATATATATATATATATATATATATATATATATATATATATATATATATATATATATATATATATATATATATATATATATATATATATATATATATATATATATATATATATATATATATATATATATATATATATATGCTGATATCATTTAATATCATTCCAAAAAAATATTATATATGTGTATACTTGGTGGAAATTTTTTATTTTTTAATTGTTTTTTAAATTTTATTAAAATTTTTAAAATTAAATTTTTTTTACTTTTATTTTAATTTTTATATTTTTAAAGTCAATATACATAACATTAAAATTTCATGCATATGTCATTTATAATAAAAAAATTTATATCAGTTTCAAGTTTTTACTTACAAACCATAGTACACAATTAATTTCACTATATTGTCTCTACATTTGTTTCTCAGTACTGAACTTTCCACTGTGTGACAATCAATACAAATCATATGTTAATCTAAAATACCTTCAAAGATGACTTTATGGTTTAGTTCTTGTCAAGGGTTGACCTGCATTTTTTTGAGAGGCTGAATTGTAAACAAAACACCAGGCAACGGAACACAGATTTCACTTCCGGATCATCACCACGACTTTATTACTCAATGTGCACTGTCGCCGAAATACACACAGACAACCACACCATAAGCTCACATTTTAAAGAATAATCAATTGCCTTTAAATCCTTACCAAGAATGCCAAAATCTAACTCTAGTATCACCACCAAATTTAGACCTGAAAAAGTGATCTAAAAATAGACTGGGACTACATTCTTGGGTACTGAACCGGATTTTATTAATTGTGTACTGATTCCAGCAAGCGATGAGCGCGGGTCCTGAGGCAACAAAACTGCATTGCTGAGAAGCGCGGGTCCCAATACGCTTGCCTCGTTCGCCTTACTCTAAGAGCGGGCTTGGATTTATCCTTTATTGTGTTGCACGATTCTTCCAACATGGTATACAAAGGTCGGTCATCACAGTATATGAAATGCTCATCATAATTAAAGGATTTAAGTAATAATTTACGCAAAAGGTTGATTCTTCCTGATGCTTAGTATATTGGACTAACGTTATATGTATTTATTGCCAATATATTACTGGCTTCTTTATAAAAGAAGACTGATTTCTTAATACCCAATAAGATTGTACTGTTTCAAATATTTCAAATTTATTTTCTAAGGACTCTACATACTTATAATTTATTTGGTATACTTTTTATTTCTTCAAACATATTTCTTATGGTATGGTTCTCAATATTACTATAAATAATGTAATTGCTGGTATTTTTGCTATAATTGCAGTACCCTAAAAACATGATGTATCAGCATGGAGGATCTATAATTATTTCCATATAATTTATAAATCTTCCTATATACAGAAGACATCGCGTTGAATAATCATACAATTCTGTAATGTTACTTTTTGTTTTAATTAATAGTTGTAATATAATGTTATATTAATTTGCAAAGTCAAATACAGATAATATATCATCAAATTCAAAATTATTTTTTTTTTGAAAATTTAATTATCTTTGTTTTATTAAAAGAAATAGAACGTATAGTATTTAGTAATGGTCATTCAGAAAACACATTCCACACATCACTGCTATGTAATTACCAAACATTACAATCACGTCCATGACAATCACAATATATTGATCATGATTTTGTTTTAAATCAGTGTATAGTTCAATGTCTTTCAGTGCCACATAATAAGTCTGTGTTAAAAAAAAAATCATGATGCAAGATTTACGGGTGCGCGCTGACTAAACAATGCATTCAATATATCTGCTATTGACAACTTATAACCGTGATTTTTGCATTTGCTTGATTCATTCACACATCCAAATAAATAATAAACATTTTTAGGATTAATAGAATGATGGTTTACGCTTTATACTAACTGTCTTTTCATCAGCAGATATTTCTTGGGATAAATCAACATGATCAATACATAACTGAAGGCTATCGTTTTACCTGCCGTATCGAACGTATTTCTCATTGTAGTACCAAGTCTTATGGGAAAATTTTATTTCTCTGCAAACGATTATTCCTATTATTTTTATTAACAAACTGCTTTATAATAGTCACGGTCTTGTGTTGGATAAACTAAATTTGTATCATTTTTATATTAAAATATTATCATTATTATCAAATTTTGTCTACCCAATGTCTGTTACACCAAATCTAACATTTTGGTTGCTATTTGTTTTGATTCGTAAACCGTCAGAAGTTGTAAACTTTGTAAGATTTGTATCCACATCGTGTGTTGTTCTATTCTTATCGTTTCCGGGTTTAAACGCAAGTCTTTTCAGAAGCGAAGGCATTCTATAGCATCCTAAATAGGCATGATGAGATATTTTTATTGTTATGATAATTTCCCATCGAATCGATACCCCCATAGACAGGTCCACAACAGCAATCCTATGGGGTATTTAACACTACAGTTAACTTTAATGTCGTCTAATGTTAATGCTATCGATATTATTTAACATCAAATTCCCCTTAAAGTCACAGTGTCAATTTT